ATAAAGCACCACTTTGTGCAGAAAATTGTTGCAATTACAAATGTAATTACAAACTAAAGAGAACAATTGATCAAAGATTGCAACAAAGGATTGTTCGAATGGTGGATAAAGACCCTCCATCAACTTCCAGACAAGTTCAAGCTGACCTTCAGGCACAGAGTACAACTGTGTCAGCTCGCACTATACGTCGCCATCTGAATGAAAAGGGACACTATGGTGGGAGACCCAGAAGGACCCCACTACTGACAGAAACATAAAAAAGCCAGATTGGAGTTTGCCAAAACTTACCTGAGGAAGCCAAAATCCTTTTGGGAGAATGTGCTCTGGACAGATGAAACAAAATTACAGCTTTTGGGTAAAGCCCATCATTTCAGAAAAAGAAAAAAAAATACAGTCCCTACAAACATGGTGGAGGTTTACTGATGTTTTGGGGTTGCTTTGCTGCTTCAGGCACTGGATGTCTTGATTGTGTGCATGGCATTATGAAATTTGAAGACTACCAAAGAATTCTGGGGTGCAATGTGGAGCCTAGTGTCAGAAAGTTGGGTCTCCGTCAGAGGTCATGGGTCTTACAGCAGGACAATGACCCAAAGCACACGTCAAAAAGCACCCAGAAATGGTTTCAGACAAAGTCCTGGAAAGTACTCGACTGGCCGGCAATGAGTCCAGATCTGAATCTCAGAGCACCCGTGGAGAGATCTCAAAACAGGAGTTGGGAAAAGGAACCCTTCCAATCTTAGAGACCTGGAGCAGTTGGTGAAAGAAGAGTGGTCCAAAATTCCTGTAGAGAGGTGTAAAAAACTCATTGATGGTTACAGGAAGCCATTGATTTCAGTTATTCTTTCCAAGGGCTGTGCTACCAAATATTAATTGAGGGTGCCAATAATTTTGTCCAGTCCATTTTTGGAGTTTTGCATAGAATGTGTCAGATTTGGCTTTTTTCTCCACTTTTTTTTGTGTCATATCAATACAAACAAAACAAATAAACATGAGAATGCCTAAACATTTGTAATTGCAACAATTTTCTGCACAAAGTGGTGCATTGTCTGACAAATGCAGGGGTGCCAATATGGTTGGCCATGACCTTTTTTGGTTACACATTTCAGTCAACATGAAATGCAGCTTACTCTTTTCCTAAAGGGCACAATAATTAGTTGGCGTAATGTCTTTCACGCCAACTTTGAAAAATAGGTACAGATTTAGTTAAACCCCCTAGCCTCCCTCTTCCCCACCAAGACTGGGCAGTGATTAATGGCTGCAAGCAGAGGCTGTCCTGTGCAACGTTGTATACTCACCTACCATCTAGAAAATATAATAGGTCATTTCCAAAACATCTCAATAGCCAGGGACAGCATAATCCAAGGCCTCTGGCTGTAAAGTCTCCCCAGTTTGGGGTGAGACCACCTGTCATCTACATCTAAGGTTAGTATTTACAACTATTTGGCCAGGTGTGCACAGAAGGGTCACAAATGGGTTTAGTTAAAACTGCACTTATGCAAGATTTAGGCTACATGGGTAGTTTTCAGTGGGCAAGGGCCTATATACACTATATCCATTTAGGTGCATTAAAGTGTGTTACTGCAATGTTTTTATTATGGCACTGAAATGCACTAAGGGAACATACCTCCAAGGCATTGCACCAAACATACTACTGTGGTCTACTGCTTAAGAAAAAAATGTGCACGTTTGTTTAGTTTTTTTGTCCATTCTGATGTGTTGGCAACCCAATAATTTAAGTGGGCTGCTTTCAAATTAACAGTCTACGTAACATGCATCAATGCAATGCACCATAGCTGTAAAGGGTGAATGGGTCATGAGTGATTTGCCACAGAAAAATTCCCAACAGGACTGCCTGCCAAAGTGTATGTAAACATAGTCTAAAGCTGGCCATACACCTTTCAATGATCTGCAGATTTTCTATGGTCAGATGTAAAAAGTACAACAGATTCCTCCAACTATGCTAAACTGTGTAGATAGAGAAATCGCCCACTGGGCCAAGCTTCAGTATCTTGCTAGTCGGCCCCGCTGGCTCTCAAAACACCTGAACAGTGCCTGCATCCAATAGGTGGCCAACTCCAGCTGTGCTTTAACTTCAAATCCCAACATGCCTTTGGGAGTCAAGCCTGTAACGGTCAGTCTTGCAATGCCTCATGGGACTTGTAGTTCCATAACAGCCGAAGGGCCAGTGTTTGCCCACCCCTGCCTTAGTCAGTCACTCATATATCACCACCATATGATCAAACAAGTGACTCCTATAATAGGGATATGTATAGTGTCTGCATTCTCCTGATGGAGATCGGTTTAAAAGCAGAAGAATCAAACTTAAAAGTACAACTATAGACGAAATAAAACAAACTAAATATAGGATGCAGCTTGCCAACAGCACGTACACAGCAGTTTGTGTTCAAACGATATATAATTAAAGATGACAGTTGTAAGCCCTCCTGTGTTAAATGCTTTTCCAAACTGTAACTGCCACTTTTGCTGGACAGTTTGGTGTGTTACAGGAAGTGGAAAAAAACACAGACTGGAAGGATCAACAGGTAATAAAATGTTTTTACAGAAAACAAAAACTGCCGTGTTCATTTTAGACAGACTGCATCATCTATGTCAGTTTTGTCCATAGTTTTACTTTACAGAGCACAGAATGGCCACTGGTGCTGATATTTATACATGAAAGAAAAACCCATTGAGGGACATTTATCAATTCAAATCACACAGGAAGACCAAACAGGAGCAGTGAAAGCGATTGTGTGACACATTTATTACGCTTAAGTCATAAATACCTCCTCTGTCTGCTCTAAGTCACACTGTGACCCAATGAAACATGACCCTTTACTGACATTGTAAAGGGTGAAACATGACATTACTTTTTAATTGTGCGTCTGTTTAGAGTGACAATCTCTCATCCCAGTAAAGCTGGCCATACGCTATACGCATTTCAGAAGGTTCTTGATGAACCAGCTGAAATTCGGACAGTGGGTGCCGCTGTCGGCACCCTTTCATGTGGCATCCCTCGATCAGCTGATCGAAGGAGCCAGTCTGCCAGCGAGCTGCCGGCTGTGTTCGGATATCCTGACAGCAGTCGCCATCAGAATACAAAGCAAACAGCGGGAGATTCCTTGATCAACACTCTTAAGCAATGATGGAGGAATCCGTAAAATTTTCTTCGTCCAGCCTGCGGGTCGCACGAAGATAATATTACAGTGTATGGCCAGCTTAACAAATCGGTTTCAAATGGCTGCCCAGAAATTCAGACATGTGGGTCACAAATACACTGTAAACCTGATGCAGAGACTTTGCCAAGTGAGAGGCATGATTTGCATCTGTGTCACCAATTTCCTTGATAAATGTCCCCCATTGTTTCTTGGTACTGAAAGCTGGAACTTCAGCCAAAATCTTTTTTCACATTTTGATAAGAGTAGGCAAGAGTTAAAATGTCAGTATTCTATTGCCGTGGGCCCAGGCTGGGAAGATGTCCTCTAATTTTCTGCCCAGGTTTCACTGGGGCAAGTCATCTCCCTTACAAGGAAACAGACATTGTGACCTTTCCTAGTTTTTGGCTGGAATTCTATTTTAAGCAGCTTTTCAGTAACTATGGTGGACTTGAACCTGACGTACATATTTCACACCTGAAAATCAGATGAGGGATTTCTTTTTATTGTATTTGAAGACTTATACCTGTACAGGCAAATTTACAAAAAAAATGCATTTCATTTATGTACAGTCACCTAGGTCCCAACAATGCATTATTATATTCAAGATACCAAAATAGTATTTACAGTATATGCACAGTAAATAAGATGGGCAGTGAAAATCTTTACAACACTGATTGACTAATTGTAACTAAAAAGGAAAACCTTTATTACAGTATAATTTGTTTCTTCCAGCCATCATGTTAACATATGGCAATCTGTACCTTTCACATTAAACTATATTAAACAATTTTTGTTAGTCTGTTCAAAACATACCATCTGACCTTCTACAACATACAAGAACCATCTATATCTCACATCTGCCATATACATGGCCCATAATTCCTAAAGCAGAGGTCCCAACCTGTGGTAGCCTGTTAGCTACAATCAAATAATAATGAGCGTAAACATAAGAACCGCTAGTAGCCAAGAATGACATGGCTCTCACAAGCCACCTGTTGGGCCCTCTGGCCTAAAGTCTACTTGCCATAACACATTAATTCATTACTCATCGCATTGAGTCTACAGCACATAACTCCTTCACTAGCACTAGCTACATCTCTTTCTAAAACCCTTAAAATACAAAAAAAAAAAAGTCTGACAATATTTCTGTATTCAGCTGCCCTGAAAATGTTTTACTGAAAAAATGCATTTAGGGGAATAAAAATGCAGTCTTTAAAATCTTCAAAAATACAATAAAATTGATTAAAACCCCTCTGTACTACATTATAAAATTAAATACTTGTCAAACACACAAAGGGAATGTACAGTAAACAAAAGAAAAAAATTATTCCAGTAGGTAACATGAATAACCTGTTAAAGGCCAGAGTCTGTTTTTTTCATGAACATGTAGGATTGCTGTAGAATGGGCATACGTGGACATTCTGTAAGAATACAAAATCTACTGGCTCAGGTTACTGCAGCATTTCCGGGTTTGCTGCCAGGGAAATCCAAAAACACCAAATATAGCCATAATTCCTAGATATCGCTTTTCTCTTGGAGTCTCCCACATTGCATGCAGTCCTTAACAAATGGCAGGTTTCTTTTTATAAAGAATACCGTTTGAACTTCAAAACAGGAGACATTTTTCCAAATGGACACAGGAAAAAAAAAAAGGAAGAGGACATACCAACGCAGCAATCTCCATGATTTAAACTGCCACCCCACTCAAAAAAAAAAAAAGACTCTGATTTTAACAGTGTTAAATGCATGCCAGTAGCTGCCACTGAAAGGGAACTGGGAAAGTAACAAATACAGTAAGATCAGTGAAAAAATCCCAGTATGCTCACATTAAAAGATACAAATATACATATGTATAAATAACAAGTCCAGCCAAAGAGCACATTTCCACCTATACCAAAGTTTCTTTTCTTTTAATGCTCTGTTGTGTTTTGTCTCGTGTCTTCCGACTTCCTGTCAAAGCTCTTTGGAGTTTCCCAGGCTTTGGATCCTCTGGTGAGCCCACAACAGAGCTGTCTGCAATTTCTTCAAGGTCCATTTCTACTAAGCCTGATATGGTAGATGACCTTCGCTGGGTGTTTGTGTTCAGAGCTGGGGGATGATTTTCTTCACATTCCTCACTGAGGTCAGGGAGTTCTTTTAGTTCAGTTGGTGAAGCGTTCTGATATGGGGCAATGGCTGTTCTGATACAGTTCAACCACTGCTGCTTGTGAAAGATGTCATTGGCTTGGAGTGTGTGACTCTGACCTAAGCAGGCTTCTTGAAACCGAACTCGGAAGATGTTTTTAGCTGAAAAATAAAACAAATATGAAACTTAGACAAACGATAATTATAATTATTTTACCTTCAAAATGTGTCTTACTAATATTGCAACCACTTTAGGTAGTGGTGTAAGGTAGTTTAAGGTTTGGATGATTCTGCAATTGGACGCTTGTCAAGCCTGCATTAAGCCCTCGTTCACACCTGAACGCTTTGTAGCTCGTTCTACGCTCGACGAACGCTCTACAAAACTCTCAAAAATATAAATCCCATTGTATTCAATGGTCTCGTTCCCACCTTGGCGTATGCCCGCCCGTCCCTAAGGCGCTACAAAACGGCCCACGCCTGAAAAGGTACAGGTACTACTTTGGGCCGTTTTGTTGCGCGTTTCCATTGGGATACAGCCAAGTAGCCTTCGGAAACGCGCAACTTTTTTACTGCGAATCGCGGTAAAAAACCGCGCGGCAGCCGCCCATATGCAATACGCCTAGGTCTGAACGAGACCTTAATCCATACTTGGCCCCACCACAAAACAAAAGGGGAATACATCCTTCAGTGATGGCAAAAAAAACATCACTTTAAAAAAAATCACATTATACCTATGACATGGCCATCATATTTCTGAATATAGCCCCGGCCAAAAGATCAATTGAGAAAGATCTACTAGCCAGGCTTGATTTTCCCATCGGATACCCATTTTCCAAGATGACATTGATGCCAGGGATGTATTTTAAAACAGTCCAAAAGGGATAATAAGATTAAATAGATTTGGATCTCTGGGCTTTCAGACAATGTGGGCATATCCGAATTATACACTAAGCCTTTGTATTCCATTTAGCTTTGCACTATGTCTCTCCCCTCAAGGTTTCTGTTACAGATAAAATAATCTTGTGCAATAATAAGAATATTTGTGTGACAGAAGGGCACGTGTGAGGATGTCCATAGCCATCAGATCATTTCACAATGGCCAGTCAACATCCGATGTCTACAGCAGCTCAAGAGTGATGAATGTTCTGCTTATGGCAGCAGCTATATTCATTGTTAATACTTTTCACAATATCCTGGGGGCTGGATTTAATTTTAAAGCTAAAGCAAAAAGCTAAATTCATGGCTTAAAAATATGAACTGTCTTGTTTGTCAAATGACTTGTAATTCTATCCAGTCGCTTTTATGATTCATACACCTCTGCCAGGTGTTAGGAGTTCCTCCCCACTCACAGCCTGCTTTTTGTACAATGAAGAAATAACAACATTGATAACGCATCGGCTTTGCTTTTTAACCCTGCCAGCACATGTTCATGTAACAGAGCCCGATTGGCTCATAGTGCTGCCTCCCTCCCTCTTCCAGTCTGAGTGCTGCTCTTACATGAAGCCGATATAAACATCGCGTCAGGTGCTTATGCTAGTTTTATAAAAAATAGTTTAAAAAAAAAAAAAAAACTTTTAATAAAACAGAAACAAGCAGACATCCAAATGTTAAGCATACCTTTGTCTGAATTGCTGAATGCTCCTCTAAAGGAACCACCCATCCTCACATCACCATCTTGAAGATCCTCCAGCACCAGCTCTTGAACAGGGATTGGTTGTCTATACACCTGATAGTACTGACGCTCGTTACGTGTAATTGGACGGGTTAGAACCAGAACATCTTGAAACATGAAGAGATACAGCTTCTGTGGAGAGGACAAATAAAGACTACTTTGTTATACCCAACAAAATAAGTAAAATTATGCTAATAGGTCTACATGCAGTGCATAGGTATAATAGAAAGGTTCCTACCAGAACTAGAAATACAGATCATTGTCTTAAGTAATTTCATGTTAAACAGTCCAACAGGCATAATAAGAAGACAAAAAATATGTGGATCTCTGGACTTTCAGACAATGGGGGCATATCGGAACTATACATTAAGCCTTTGTATTCTATTTAACTTTGCACTCTGTTTCTCTCCCGAGGTTTGTGTTGCAGATGAAATAATCTTGTATGTAATAAGTGCGGTTTGATATGCTATATTATCAAAGGAATATAAAAAATTGCTTTTACAGCACACTGATAATGCTATAAAAGATGTACTTTGCTGTGAACAAGATAACTGGGAATTGTGCTGTTCTGAACTTTAGTATTGTATTCTAAGAGCCTCATTAAGTGATATCCTGCTTTCTTTTCGACTAGATATATAGTGTTATTAGACAAAAATACATCCCCTATCACTACAAGTGTAAAACGTCACAATAGCAGGAAATGCATACTTATCAAGTGATAATTGCTTATCAAGTCACCATACAATGTATAAAAGACAAACCATCTGTACTATCTGAATTCAGTTTATACCAAGATCACTTACATGGCCATTTTTATTCTTCAGCTCCCCATGACACAGAAGTGATTTGCTTGATTCTATCTTGGGGTCTCTTTGTTTGTCATCGAGATATTCCAGCTTGTCAATGTAATACTGGCATTCAGACTCTCCCTTTTTCAAGTTAATGTCTGTAAGCACCCCTTGGATTAAGCACAGCTGCAAAATAATACAGAACGTTTAAGGGACATGCATACAAATAACATTTTGCAACATCAAAAAAATACTACTGCTGATGTAGATACACTATTTCCACTAATGCATTAGGCTACATTCATAAAAGCAAAAGCCCATGTCATACTAGAAATCTTATTCACACACACACACTTTCTCCTGTGGTGTCACTCCCTCAATAAAGATCCATATTCTGCAGTGTTTTTGCTAATGAGGGAAGGGGGCAATTTCCATTAGGAAGAGTGGCACCTACACATTAGTAATTTGCCACTGGCAAGGTGTCAAGAGCAGCAGAATCACTTCTGTGACATGGGCCTTAGAGTCAAAAAGAAGCTAGCACTAAGTTCTAAACCTAATTGATTAACGAAAGCATATTCGGTGTAAACTTACAGCTTCTTCCAAACTCTTGCCGTCAGGATGCTCGTTAGGAGTGTGTCGAAGAATCTCTCTCAGTAGCAGGGGATACTTCACCAAGCGGCTTCTGGGAATATCAAGAAAGCTCCAGAGGTCTAGCTTGCGACTGAATGGAGATTCCAGACACCGCTGCAGAAAGTCCTGGACTCGTCTGTCCAACTTCTTTTGGTCTAGCAGAGCTTTGGCAGCCAGCTGGTTACTGCAATACCTCTTGTATGCATTTAAACGCGGTAACTGTTGACAGAAAATACATTGATGTTATTACCCTTATTTTACATTAGTAAGAAGAAAAAAAAACACTATACAAAGCAATTATTTTAACTTGTTTTCCACTAAAATTCATGGATGAAAGAAAACAAGGACATTGGCAACTAAAATGGCTTTAAAACTTACCCAGTTAACAAGAATGTGGCCGATTTGTCCAACGGTCCCATCTGCTCTAGTTGCTTCCCTAAGTTTTGCAAGAAATTCTGAAGAAAAAAAAAAAAAAGAAGATGAAGACACCAGGCATATGCAAAAAGAGATAAAGGGATAAAATACATCTGGATAAGGATTTTACATACCTTCATGTAGAGGTATGTAAGCATCTAGGTCTCCAAAAATCTGTGCAAGTTCCTCCTCAGACATTATGGAAAGTTTCAGCATTGGATCATGGTAGGCCTTTCTTGCCAACTTGAGGTCTTCAATCAGGTCTTGCTCTCCTCTGGTCATTTCATAAATAGCCTTTAAACCAAACAAAAGCATGGGCGATACTATTACCATGATTTCAGGATGTGAGAGCTAACTGAAAAATGAATTACTGTTATGAAGACTTGCTTTTATTCAATAATCCCCCATGAACAGATAGGGATCTATCAAAGCTAAGCACCACATCAACAATCTCTTTAAAATCTATTTTCCATGTGCTTCTCTCCCCTTTTATCACATACAGAAATCTCATTTCACACCATTAGGCGTTTCCCTATTATCCACTTAAGAATACCAGAAAAACTATTTCCAATTGCTTCATTACGCCATCAAATGGCATTATATTTTGTGATTAACTGTGTCATTAACTTTAAATGCAAGGCCCGGCTTAAAACATACCTCTTGCCGTTTAATTTCTTTGGTGCTCAGCGTTTCTTTCATATTGACATCTAACATCTCAGACCACAGGACGCTATTTCTTCTTTTTGGAGGGGTAGGGGCAGCCATCTTGCTACAGGCCTTGCTTGTACTGTTCGGAGACTTGTTGTCAGCTCGCATGGTGAACGACTGATAGAAAGAAATATAAAAAGCAATCAGTGATTGTGATGCAAGCCATTGTTCAAAACATTAACTTATAATAACATTATTTCACATATAGAAACCATGTTGCAACCACAGAGATAAGCTCCGGAACAAAATGTTTGTATCCATATGGAACTACCTACCACCATGACTCAAACAGCGAGGTAGTTTCATAAAAAGATTTACCATAAATAAGAACACTGTACAACTGTTTTTTTTTTACCTAGGTATTATTTATATGTACACACAAATCTATTGTTTCATACTTACTTGGATAGTTTGGCCAAAGCGCCGAACTGCGCCATTTCTCGCAGGAGATATTAAATTGGCTAAAGATGTTACCCGTGCTAGAGGCCGTACTCTCTTATTGCTCGGCTCCTACAAAAGCAAAATACACATTGCATTAATCAAGGTGAAGCAGAATAGGTTGGTTTTTTTTTTCCAGGCCCTGCAGCTAAAAAGAATGTATTCAAATCAAAGAGAGGCATTCTCAAACAAACTAATATGAGCACACACTGGAACGTAGACAATACAGACTAACATAGTTTAGTTTGTCTGCACGCAAGCTGTATTAACCAGAACAACAAAAGTAATCCAAGTAACTGTTCAAAGGGCAGTCTCTTCATGCAGAAACATCTATAACATTACTAAGTGAAGAGCTTGCAGAAATAATTGCCCAGGAATTAAACTATCCAAAACTAAAGGACAAGAAAACAACATATAAAAGGTTGGTCTACATTGTAGACTCTACAAGAACGATATTTTAGAAATTCTCTTCAAGATTTGCTGCTCTTTTATGCCCTCTGAAGTATGACCTGCTTTAGCCTGCATGCTCAAGTTAGAGACGGCAATATTCACCACGGATGAATGGCATTACAGTACAATTTTAACACTTTTGCCTACAGTTAATAAATTCCAAGGATACCAGTATAGACATGAAAACTTCATAACACAACTATGCCTTATGCTTGGTGTTCTATTGTTGGGTTACAAACAGATCTACTCTAATGTATTAAGTTTACCGCAGCTGCTAACAAATTTCCATACAGTAAACATTCGCTTGAGCTGGTCATCTGCACCGTGAATAATCAACATTTATCACAATTCATATAGCCTAGTTTTAGGTAAAATAAACCATATGCAGCAAAAAACATGCAGGGCCACAAAAGCAAAAATGACACCAATGAAGAAAACTACAAATCTCACTGTTTATTCTTGCATCATTGTACAAACAGTGGCAAGTGTTTAGATTTGAGTTGAATCATTCAGATTATTATATGTAGAGCAAAGGTAATGAAGGACTTCCCTGCTGACCTAACCTGTAAAAGAGAAGTCAAAAAATATACAATGGCTTTCTATGTCCAGTGAAAGACAGGTGTTAATGTCTTTATGGCACATATGTCAGCTTCATGTTACAGGAGAACCAACACAAGTCGTAAGGGCACATTTTTTACATTTGGCTCATGGAAGACAAGGAGCCACTTGTTTTAAATAACGAAAATTCAGCCTAAACCACGGGAAGGTTTAGAAACCAGCAGCAACCTATAAAACTGGTTTTGCCTGAATCTCAATGTACTTCAGCAGGCACCATAACTAAACAAACAATAGGAAAATAAATATGACCTGATGTATTACTGCCACAGTTACTCCCTTCTCAACCGCCACTTATCCTGTCCTTCATGGCCCACATTTAAATGAGCATTTCATTCTGCAGTCTTGAAGCCATTAAAAAAAAAAAAAAGGCTTACTAAACTCTAACAAACTACGCAAACAGGATACACCGCACAAGAAAATGTAACGGAAGGTAAAGCCTATGTTTTCTATAGAAGGTCTTCCAAAAATAAAATAAAAATCAGGTGCAAATGAGACCTCACCACCTTGAATAACGTACAATTCTCTTATTGGAAGAACTGCAGTTTGTGTGCAATTACCCTGTAAACTTGAATGGTTTAACAAACAGGCTCATCGACAAGTGCAAAATGACTCCAAAAATAAATAAAAATCAACATCCAGTGAACGCTTACTAAAAAAAACCTGAGAAGATTGCAAAAGAAAAAGACAAATGTACAAATCCTATAAAAACGCTCATTAGCCAGAGTTTGTAGTCCTACACATTCTTCAACACAATCTCACACTTTGTTCCCTCGTGAAAGGAAGCATTGAGGGAAAACCAAAAAAAAAACCACTTCAAACGATGATATAGACAAGAAATGAGCAGAAAACACAAACGGATACTTTAGATAAGACAATCTGTTTAACAGGATGACAAAAAATGGCTTGGGGGGGGAGAAAAGAAAAAAAAATATTCCCGATTTAACACCACACAACATTACAAGAGCGGAAAGCACATTGCTTCAAAGTCTACATAAAGAAGACAGCCAATGCCTTGAAATCAGGATTTAAAGCCAAGAAAACATTTTGTACTGTAACATCTGACAACACATTCAAGCACTTGCAGAGCAGTCTACAAGACGGAAATGTACAGTTCTAACGCTGCAGCTCAAACCCAAATGCTTGTACCTGGCTTCTAAAACTGCCAGGGATACAAGAAATGTCTTCAGAAAAGTATTCATATCAGATCACAGCAACTGGAAGGAAGCCTCTTTTTTACAAATATAAACAGAAGGTTCATACAGAAAACGTCATTGAAAATAGATCCATACCTCGAACTCCTTGCAAGCTGGATTCTGAACTGTTATGACCTGAATAGTCCTTTTGATAGGCAACAGACCTCCAATTTCATCATGAGCCACCATACTTTATAATATTTCCCTCACAGGAGTCGCAGCCAATCCACTTTAGAGGCTCTACTCCGCGTGGAACAGCTACTTGTTCATAAACTAGTCTCCGATGTGCTAAGAAACACTCACAGCTCCTTCCCATACTGCATACTTCCCTGGCTGCAACTGTAATGAGCGCTGGAAAGTCTGGTGACTGCTTTGTACTTAAAGGGAGGAGGAGCAGATCCAGCTGCCTTCTGGGCGTCTTCCCATGGAATACCATGTCATTTGTCTGACAGCTGTTACACCTACATTCTATGGCTCAAGTTACACACACAGCCTTTAGTCTGAACATACACAACTCTCACAAAGCTGAGAGTTTCTCTTCTCTAAAAGCAACCACAGAAAAAAGGAACACCGCTTTATCTGAGCACATACAGAAAAAGATACATCCGCTTTAACATGTGCATAGCGTGCCATAAACTTCAGGTGTGTTATATATATATATAAATAATCACACACACACACACACACACACACGAGTAAAGCATTACAAATTTTAGGACTACACTGCATGGATGTTATGTAACGCACACACACTCCTGTACAAATCTACCTAAAGCTGAGGCGTGTTCAGATGCTCAGCTGCTGCGAGTGCCAAGTTAGCAAACTGCCGCTGAACGCTGTGCTGCAAGCCAGCCCTCAGCACTGCTAACTTAACACTCGCAGCAGAAGTGAATGTGGACGCAGAGCGTCAAGTGTGATGGAGAAGGGGGGACAGAGCACCAGCAGCCATTTTAACTGTGGGCACACCTGGAGAAAAGTCCTTAAACCCCGATGGAGGAAATCAATTCAGCGTGGGAAGCTACAATTCAATGTTTTAGTGAACGAGCACACCAAATATTCCGTGGAAAATGGTATTAGTCAAAAATATCATCCTCCTCTGCTTATTGACAGCAGGCAGTGGGCGGGTGCAATAGCCAGTTCGCTATTGGCTATTGTAATTTATAATATCCAATAGCAGGCTGGCTATTATTAAAAGTGTCCGCTCCTTTTCCGTTGTGGTGTGTTCTACAGCAGTTTGTTAAACGGACACAGACCACTGCAGCCAGCACAAGCAGGGAGACAAATGGGACAAATAGTAACTGCCATCATTGTTCATGTATTTGGACTGCTGTGGGTGCAGACTGTCAGGATACAATGGCCCAGCATGGAATATTCCCCCATCCATGCTGTTTAGTGTGAATGAAGAAATATGGGCCTTTTTTCTCAAAGTGTGTATGGCCAGCTTAAAGCAGACCTTTACTCATATACTTACAATAACAAGCACACCCTTAGAAATGTTTAGTAATGACAATCTACAAACAAACACACACATCTAGATAATTGCCGGCTTTGTATACTTTGCATACCTTGTTTCTCTTTTCTTCCCGTCTTCTGGCAGTGGCCATGTTTACTAAGGGCAGATTACTAGCTCTCCATTTACTTCTTTGAACGCTGGCACATGTGACTAGACATGTGACCATGCACATTATCTCCAGGGCAGAAAATGCCTTTCCATGAGATCTCGCGAGACTACGGATGAGATTTCCCAGCAATGCTCCGATGATGACAAGGCAATCTCTGTGTGCATTGCTTTGGCAAACTGAAGTCCTTTTGCCCTTTCAAAACAGGAAGTGAATGCTCTGCAAGTGTAAGTAATTCAAAATCACAGCATTTTACACCTGACAGGTCTATGTTATTATTTAACATTATACATAGAGGGATGCAGTGGTAGAAACAGATTTTTTGAGTGTTAAGGTCTGCTTTAAAGAAGAACTCCAGGAATTCTTTTTATTAACCTTTGCAGTCCAGTGTGTCTAGGAAAAAAAAAAAAAAATTATACTCACCCGAAGCTCCTGGCCAGCTTCTTCTTACACTGGTCCTTCCAGCTTCTCCTCGCCTCCCCTGCAGCATTCTAAGGTCTCTTAAATCATCATCGTCTATACACAATTAATAGACATAAAAACGCTAAAGACGATTACAATGCTAAAGTGTAGAAGGAGACGGGCTGGAGGGAGCACTGCGACAGCAGGCTCTGAATTTTGAGTGAGTATAACTTTATTTTTGAACCTAGACAAAAACGAGAGCTTAATCCTTGCAGTGCGGGGTAGCCCCACAGACAGGATTAATAAAAAGGTTTCCTGGAGCAAGGACAGGTGAGCACAAGATTGGCAGGGGGGCTGGATTACAATACGTGTAAGGTGCAGTTATATTTTTAAAGCCCCAGAGCCCAACCTGCAGGCAGCCATTTGGTACTTGTTGTACAGCCCTCAGCAGTCAGTATGAGGGGGCATTCATTTGTAAAGGGGTAATAGCAGTAGTCTATAATAGCCTCATACAACTTGTCCTCAAGTCTCTCACAGTTTTCAATCACACCTGCAGCATGTCCACAGCCTTTGACAGTCTTCTATAGTATATTATACTGAACATTATATGTTGCCCTTTCGTGATGGCAGAGGCTGTAGTTGAGGACCCCTACAACTGCAACATTGACAACCATTGCTTTAACGTGTCCCAAAATACATTTTTTTAAAGACTTTGTTAGTGTATTTAACCCTTCCGTATTCTATCACTGTCACTGGAACAATGAACGGGAAACCCACAATTTTACAGTAGTCACTAGAGGCGGTGAGAGGAACTCTCCCAATAAGGACACCTGTCACAATGACAACTTTCTAAGAAGGGATTTTCTCTTACTTCCTGTTGTATATCCAAGTCAGGGAGTGAAGGAGGGTTCGTTAACAGGGCAATAAAAAAAAATTAAAAAGTAGGTTTTGAATTCAGATATCAGAACCATGAACTTTTTTTCTTTTCTTCTTTTAACCACTTCCAGCGGGTTCACGTAAATGTACGTCATCCGGTAGAAGTGGTTATACCAAGAACACGGCTTCGGTTCTTGGTACCGTTTTAAACAGACGGCGATTGCTGTTTAAATACAAGTGATCCGGCGTCTGTACACTTATATGGTGCAGCGCCATGTCCCCCCCCCTCACCCCGCCGGTGGCTTCCCGGGCTCCGCTGTCCCCTGTGAGAGCCCAGGACCGGCATGGCTGATGGATCGGAGGAGCCACTGATCTCTCATCCGATCACTGGACCCGGAAGTGATGTGCATTACATCACTTCCGGTGTCACTGTACACATTCTCTGGCTCCTAGAGCCAGAAGAAGAAACTGGTGAAGCAGATCTCAGCTTCATCAGCTTCTATGGGGTCCCTAGGTGACATTAGGGGTCTGAAAGATCCCTGATGTCTCCATAAAAGAGGGCCTGTCACATTATATTTGCCATTACATAGGGGGCTTGTTAGCCTCCTATGTGATACATGTTACATATCGTCGCAACCATCTGAGTGATCGCAATAATTCTAGGCCCATCAATCACTGCTCACACTACACTGATTAGCAGTAAAAGCGTTTAAGAGTCGCCTATGGGAAATTTTGGTTATTGTAGTTTTTTGCAGTTTCACCAACGCATGCAATTTTAAGGCTAGACATGTTTGTTCCATTTACCCAGTGTGACCCTATCTTCTATATTTTACCAAAAAATTGGGTATTATATTCTGTTTCTGTGCACTAAATTTCATTTTACTGTATTCTATCCTAAAAATACTTGTTTGATAAACATTTGCGCAAATACCTTGCAACATAAAAAATTGCAACTAGCATCTTTTATTCTACAGGGCCTCTGCTTTCAGAAAATATATAATTGTTTGGGGGTCTGTTTTCTAGCCAAAAAGTCAGATTTTATTATGTGTGTGCAAATGTAAGAAATTGCTCCAGGCAGCAATTGGTTAATTGAGGAAATGTTAAAACCCCCATCATGTTTCCATTGCTGTTTTGGCTTTACATACACCACCACCTTTGTTACTGAAAGCCAAGGCAATTCAATATTTTATGTTGTCTTTGTTTTACATAAATCTGTATTAGAAATGTTCTAGTTCTGTGTGCTAAAAAAAAAAGCAGAAGTGAAATATTCCGAAACTTGGCATAGTGGCAACCTTAAAATGGAACTCAGCAAAATACATGGCTGAAACAGATATGCAACTTCCCATTTTATCATTATTATTTCCTGGGCAAGTGTCCTGCTCAATGGACAACTGGAAGTGGGTCAGGCAAACCACAACACTGAACCAGGAACATAAATTACCTAATCAGGAACTGTGGGTGAGTCTTTTATCTCTAGTATGGAAATGTGTGTAAATTGCAGTATTATCCGCACAGAATTACAAATCCTTTGTCAAGTAAAACAGAAAACAAATGTATTCTGTGTATTTAGTTGTTTGCCTGGAGTTCCATGTTAAAGTGAACCTGTCATCTTTTAAAAGTATCCAAGGTAAAAATACTGCAGGGTTAAATGTGCCAATGTTTGTTTTAGATTTTATTCCAGTGTCCCTGTGTACTGTAGCCATAGACACCTTGGTTCCTTGACATCTGTCCCAGTAATCATCAAGTCCCAAAATATCTGTGCCTGCTATATGTACTGTAGCCATAGACATTTTTAAATGCTTTGACAGGTTCAATTTAAGACATTGTACAAACATGGATCAAAACAGGAATTGGATATCTTCTGCAAAGATAATTTTGCTGCACTACTAACAGAAAAAAGTGTAAAAACGGTGTCGTTATCTTTTGAAATAACAAATACAATTTCATTTATAAATGAAATGTTCCCTTTAAGCCAAGGGCGGGCTATTGCCCGCTATAAGCTAACAGCCCTGCAGCCGGGAGGGATCCCTAAAATATTGTCAGTATCCACCCCACTACCTAATAGACAGCTGGCTCTGCCTCTCCAGTGCCCGCCTCCCACCCTCTCTGTCCCTCCAGTCAGCGCTGGAGGGACAGAGGGGAAAGCCTGCTGAGAGCGGTGATTAACAGCCACCACCACTGCAGGTTGAAGATTGTGAACTGAGCAATAAGCAGTATGTGATTGCTCATTTCTTGATCAATAGAGCCAACGTGTGACACTTAGTGTCACACGTCAGCTTTAACTATTGGGATGAGTATATTTCACTCTCCCCATTGTTCTCCTTTCAGTCCTCTCCGGCAGGCTATTATGAGGAGTAAAAAATGAAAAAGAAACCATCATGGGTCCTCAAGTACCTCAGGTCTCCAAAGAGGATCCATCCAAGGTTGCTCGGTTGGACAAGGGATACCTACGAATTTAAAGACTGCAACAAAATACTTAGTGTCACACTATTTTCTGCTCCCAGCATATACTAAAGCACCCATGAACTACTAGTTAAAATGCACCTTGGATGCTCATCCAACAGAAACACAGGGGTCAGGTTGAGAAGTCCACCATTACATATAAAGTTCTATGGTCAAAGAGGCAAACAGCCATTATGCCACTTTCTGGTCACACCAAACATGTCGACTGACTGATTAAAAGAGAAACTTGTCTACACTTAAACCATACAATGCGTTAGTAAAAAGGGAGTGGGAGTAGGAGAGAGATTTATCTGTATTGTGTTGGATATTGTTGCCAAGAAACAAGGGTAGCACCTTATAAAAGGCAAACATAAAACTTAGTCATTTTTAAAGCGGCATGGTAGTAGAACGGATGATGCTTTACTCAGGTGAAAGAAATCTTTATCAACAAGGAAATGCTGGGAGAAGCGGGAATGTCTACATTCCAAAATTCCACATATTAGAAGTCATTGCCTGGTAAACTGGTTGTGTAACCGTACGCCTTTGTAAAACCAAAAAAATAAGCTCTAAGAACACTGGACCCTACAAATAAGTGGAATATTGTAAGAACAGGAAAACAAAATCGAGCTAAGGCTACCAACTCCAGAGACCACTGGAGGGAATGAGCATACAAATATTGATACCACAGGGATAGCAATTCTGAAATTGATATTCTCTCCAGCTTCCTCTTGAATTGTAACATTGAACCTCATTACTAATATGTACTTTTTTCTATGATCCTCAGTTCAATCAATAATGCTGTATTTTCCCATTTCATTCTGTTCTGTATGAACATATTGAAGAAATGAACCTATCATTCTGCTTCGAATGGCGGAATTGGAGCTTAAAAGGAGAATATGGAGTCAGGGCCTTTCCCCATAGTTCTCCCCAGGGTCACGGGAGGACACAAACTAGCATCCTCCCGTGACCCAAAGCTCAGAATACCGCGAGGTACAGCCGGGACGGATGCCGACATTACTGTCGAGATCCACCCAGCTGCGTGATTGACAGCTGGCTCTGACTATCTAGAGGCGGAGCCAACTGTACCCGGCCCCTCCCCGTCCGTTCCACCAGTCAGCGCTGGAGGATATCCCTGCAGGGAGACGTGAGCGACAGTCACGGCTCTCTGCAGGGACATGATCGAGACGTGAGCAAGTGACGGTATGTGTTCGCTCACTTCACGATCTATTGAGCCGATGTGCGACAGTTTAATTGTCACATATCGGCTCGAACTATGAGGCTGAGTGATTTTTACTCACCTCATACCGGTAGTTCTCCTTTAATTAAGAGCTTCATAAGCCAAGGGAACACAAAGGTATCCAGTACAGACAGAAATAGGCTGTTGGCTCCCATTGTTGATCAGTTCACATGCTGACGGCGTCTTCTGGAGTAAGCAACTCAGGAGTAGTAGAGGAAGGCAACTAGCAAATTCAGAAGGAGATCCGCAATGGAAGCTCACATTTTCCCCCAGTACAGGTCATTTTAAGCAAGGAACTGCCCTGCTGGATTTTCCATCAGATTGAAGGAGGAATTTTGCAGTAGATTCTGAAGAATCTACTAGAGTTGGGCCAAGTCACAACAAATATCCCCAATTAAACTCCATGCTTTCAGTTCTAACGTCAGTGGAAAGTGGGGAGATGTTTACACTTGGGTGAGAAGTGAAGGCTGGAAAGGAAAAACAAATCCTATACCAGTCCACCCAAAATCAAGACTTCAGTCCTTTAAGAACTAGGCAGTGGCTCTATCACTGTTTACAAGAAGGTTGTGAGAGGTGGGGAATACCCATAGAGAAAGCAGACAGAAATATCTCTCTTAAAATGTACTCTTTTGGCATAAACAAAGTTTTCCTTTTCAAAAGAAGCCCCAAATATAATAGCACCGCGACATAAAACAAAACTCTCTGGCACAACTTAGGTTTCTTTGCGCCGAGAGAAAGCTGTATGTCAGATCATTTAATTATGTATTTTGGCAACCGGATCCAACATACGTCAGACCTTCACTATAACGTACAGAAGATCTTGTTACCTTAAGATCAAAGCTGCACAGGCTGAAAGAGTCATCATCCTTTTCTCTGCGCTTCCTTTTCTGAAAACAAATGAACAAAAAGTACATTATACGTCACCCATAAAAAGCAAAACAGAAGTCAAGGCAAGAAAAATATAATTTAAAAAAATATTCCCTACTGGAAAATAGATTGATCAAACAGGTACACAGAAGTTCTACAAATCACACAGCAATTGGGATTTTCCCCCCCAAAAAGGAAAAAAAAAATGATGAATGTCTAGCACTGCTGTAGCAGACATATCCACATAGGAAAATACAATATGCAAGACTAAACATGTCTGTTTAATCACTTGCACGCTCACATCTGGCTTTGTTTGGGACTTTTAAAGAGGCAACTGAACTCTTCTCTACACTTCACTACAATTTATTGTTACAGTGACTTACAGCTGCATTATTTTGCACAAAGAAATATCCCAGTCAAACAGGGTGGCCAAATATGAAACATACTAAATGACAAAATCCCTGTTACAATCATGGTTTCGCATAACCCTCTGTCTAGTAAAGGTTATGGAAACTGCAACGCTTTTACAGGAAAAGAAAAACTGGTCCAGCTACCATAAGTTTCATCACTTTGATGCAATTAAGATTGTTAAAAGAACTATGACCTGGTATCAAAGTATTCATCTCAACTGTGTTGTCTCTGTTAATGTGTCCAAATTCCTGCAGTCGAACAGACCACAACACCAACACCCACTAGCCTACACCTGAAAAGCGATCCTTTTCTTACCCCATGACAGATCATATGATTCTCTGACACAGGCAGATAAATTAAAATACAGGCAGTCCTCGGGTTACGAACAAGATAGGGACTGTAGGTTTGTTCTTAAGTTGGATTTGTATGCAAGTTGGAACAGGTACAGTTTTTAAGTGTAACTACAGCCATACAAATTCTTTTTAGTTTCAGATAGTATAGGGAAGGGTTTGCCCCCTGTAAAGTTTGTTTTGGTGTCTGTGCCCCTGTTCAGAAGATTTCACCTCACTTTCTGTCCCTGTGACAATTGGATTTTGAACATTTTGGGTTGTTGTGGAAACAAGGATTGGTGATCAAGCTCCAGTGGAAATGCCTTTTTCTTACAGGAGTGACTTTCCCTTTCTAGGGGTAGATTTTCTCTCGCTTCCGGTTGTTTCAAGGATAGGAAGCGAGATTAAATCTTCCTAATGAGGATACAGACCGCAGTAAAAACCTCAGTGACCCGGAAGAAGAGACGGGCACCCCTTGTCTGCACATCTAACAAAAGCCAACTTCCTGTAATATACGTACAGTACTAGGAACCAGACCCAAAAAGGCGGACGCTGCTCGCTGGCACGAACGCGGTAGCATTACAACTACTGAAATGCTGCACGGTACACTTTGGCTGCAGCCTGGGACCCTCTGCTGTAGAGTAATAGCCTGCATTTGTAAGTAGGAGTCGTATGCAAGTCGGGTGTTTGTAACTTGGGGACTGCCTGTACAACACAACTGATAACCTGCAAAAGTAGGTGAAAAGACTTCATATTTCATGAACAGTTATTGAGCATTACATTTTTTTGGGAAAATTCAAAGTTTGAATTCTACAAAAAAAAAAAAATGTACAGAACTGATAAAGCAGCTACCGTAAGTGTAAGAAAACAAAAACAATTATGTTGCCAAAATAAAAGTGCCCATAAAAGACATCCCTGCAAAGAAGATGATGCTCAAATTTAGAGAATCCATACCTCAAAATCTCTTCTGAAACCAACACTTTTAGAAGTATTAGATTCCTGGTCCCCTACTGAGCGTTCAGTGTTTCCTTCCACCGACTGCTAAATCACTACTGTGTCCTTTAGGGCCTGTTCACACGACGTCCGTTTTCTGTGCTGACCTGATCCGTACATTCTGCACTAAAAATGCATCCCAATGTATCCCTATGTGTTTTATGGGCTACATTTCTCAGGTGCGCAGTCCGTTCAGGTTACGACAGAAAAAATACTGCATGTCACATTTTGTCCGGTCAGGAAACGCAAAACGCGTCTAAAAAGGACTGCAGCTAACATACTGACTGCCCCACTCAAGCAAATAAATAAAAATATATATTTTTTTAAAAACTGGAATGCATCAAAAACGTGTCTGCAGATCCGCACCTGATAATCACGTGAACAGGCACTTAGGGCTTGGTCACACCAGGTCTAAAACCGAACAGTGTGTTCACGGAGTAAAAACGCATCCCAATGGTATTTCTGGGCTGAGACCATTTCAGACCAGACAAAAAAATAATACTGGTCTCATTTTCTCTGGAATGCATGGAAACGCACCAAAAATGCAAACGCACTGGACTGCACCTGTAAGTCCATTTTAAACCTGGAAAAAGGGGGCAACAATTGCAGTTAAAAAAAAAAAATGCGGCAAAATGCAATGCACTGCATTCCATGTGTGGTCCAATATCTGGCCTGGAAAATGGTGTGAACCTGGCCTCAGTGATACAGAGGTCAATGGAGAGTAGTATTTTCTTTTTTGCTTTTATGGACATTTACATTTCAGCAACAGATGTGCTTTACATTTTTTTTACATATAGTTCAAAGTTTAAGCATGACCCAAAACTGCTGAGCGAATGAACAGAAACATAATTGAAGACGGTCTGTTATGCACATGCAAATACAGTCAAACAGCACTAACCAGGGCAAAATCCCATTGTGTCCCTGGAGTCAGGAATGTAAAAGAGCTTCCTCTTCTTAAGGAATGTCTGAAAAAGAGCAGCAACTTAATATTAGTTCAGACAAAAAACACAAAGCATGCAAGATCAGGAAAAAAAATAATCAGTGTAATTTGAAAATAGGATTGTATTTGAAGTGTTATGAACTGACCTGCCCATGATCATGATGCTTATAAAAATCCATACTTTACAATCCATGCACACCTGTGGAGCCCTTCCTCTGTCACTAGGACTGCAGAGTTGCAGACTGACTATTACACAGCAGATTCACTCCCTGTTAAAGTACTCTAAAGTCTTTTTGATCTTTGACTTGCAGTATGAAGGTGAGCAATTTAATGGAAACAAGCTTGTCAATATGCGTTAAAGTACACCTATGTACACCCAAGTGTGGAAGAAAACCCTTTTCTGCAAACATTGATGCATATATTAGCACCATAAACTGCTTTAGCATACCTTGAGAGTTAAAATAAAGCGCAACAGTGTACCCCAAAATATCCTGTACAAATACCAAACTCATGAAAGGGTTAGCATATCGCTCTCCACCCATATAGTTGGGGCTAGCAAAAAGTCTCCCAGCTGTACCGTGGGATGGAGGAGGGAGGATGGTTTTTTTATCCGTGAACCGGAGATGTCAGAGGGAATTTATCACAACTGGAGCAGCTGTACATGGCAACCAATCAGCTTCTAGATTTCATTTTCAAAGCTTAAAGAGGAACTTTACCCATAACATCAAAAACACAACAAAGGCACCTTTAGAAATGTTTAGTAATGACATTCTACAAACACATACTTCTGGATAATTGCCGGCTTTTTATTCCTTGCATACCTTATTTTTTTCCCTCCCCCATTCTTCTCTCAGTGGCCATTCAACTAAAAGGTAGGTTACTAGATCTCCCTTTACTTCCTGAAACTCTGGCACATGTGACCATGCACATCATCTCAGGGGAGGAAAATGCCTTTCCTTAATAGTAGGGCTGCAGCTAACGATTATTTTCAAAATCAATTAGTTAGCCGATTATTACGTTCGGTTAATTGGATTTAAAAAAAAAGGCTCCAGTGATGGACTACAAGTTTGTATTGAGATTGTAGTCCCATCACGGGAGCAAGCTTGGAATGGGGGAAGTAAAAAAAAAAAAAAAAAGTGTGGTGTGCAATATAGTACATTATACAGTGGTGCAATGCAGAATACCAGCAGCTATAGAGAAATACAGCAAATACCAGCAATAGTACATTATACCATAATGTACTAGTGCTGGGATTTGTAGTCCTCTGTAGCTGCTGGTATTCTGTATTGCGCTGTATAATGTACTATTGCTGGGATTTGTAGTCCTATATAGCTGGTGGTATTCTGCATTGTGCTGTATAATGATTATACAGCGTAATGCAGAATACCACCAGCTATATAGGACTACAACAAATGCCAGCAATAGTACATTATACATACAGTGTATAATGTATTGCTGGGATTTGTAGTCCTCTATAGCCGATTGTTCATTGTGCTATAGATTATACAGCACAATGTATGGGGGAATATGCAACACCTGGGACTGTCGCGGGGGGAGAAGGAACACCTGGGACTGGCGCGGGGGGAGATGGCACACCTGGGACTGTCGGGGGGGAATATGGAACACCTGGGACTGGCGCGGGGGGAGATGGCACACCTGGGACTGTCGGGGGGGAATATGGAACACCTGGGACTGGCGCGGGGGGAGATGGCACACCTGGGACTGTCGGGGGGGAATATGGAACACCTGGGACTGGCGCGGGGGGAGATGGCACACCTGGGACTGTCGGGGGGGAATATGGAACACCTGGGACTGGCGCGGGGGGAGATGGCACACCTGGGACTGTCGGGGGGGAATATGGAACACCTGGGACTGGCGCGGGGGGAGATGGCACACCTGGGACTGTCGGGGGGGAATATGGAACACCTGGGACTGGCGCGGGGGGAGATGGCACACCTGGGACTGTCGGGGGGGAATATGGAACACCTGGGACTGGCGCGGGGGGAGATGGCACACCTGGGACTGTCGGGGGGGAATATGGAACACCTGGGACTGGCGCGGGGGGAGATGGCACACCTGGGACTGTCGGGGGGGAATATGGAACACCTGGGACTGGCGCGGGGGGAGATGGCACACCTGGGACTGTCGGGGGGGAATATGGAACACCTGGGACTGGCGCGGGGGGAGATGGCACACCTGGGACTGTCGGGGGGGAATATGGAACACCTGGGACTGGCGCGGGGGGAGATGGCACACCTGGGACTGTCGGGGGGGAATATGGAACACCTGGGACTGGCGCGGGGGGAGATGGCACACCTGGGACTGTCGGGGGGGAATATGGAACACCTGGGACTGGCGCGGGGGGAGATGGCACACCTGGGACTGTCGGGGGGGAATATGGAACACCTGGGACTGGCGCGGGGGGAGATGGCACACCTGGGACTGTCGGGGGGGAATATGGAACACCTGGGACTGGCGCGGGGGGAGATGGCACACCTGGGACTGTCGGGGGGGAATATGGAACACCTGGGACTGGCGCGGGGGGAGATGGCACACCTGGGACTGTCGGGGGGGAATATGGAACACCTGGGACTGGCGCGGGGGGAGATGGCACACCTGGGACTGTCGGGGGGGAATATGGAACACCTGGGACTGGCGCGGGGGGAGATGGCACACCTGGGACTGTCGGGGGGGAATATGGAACATCTGGGGTATAATATGTCACCCTAATAGATCTGCCATGAAAAACAACCACACTGTGACAGCAGGCTCTACACTGCCATTACCAGGCAGGTAGTTAGTACAGCATGGAATCATCTCCCCCTATATCCCCTCTACTTATAATGTCCCCATTTACCGGGCACCGGAACAGCCCTGGTTATATGGGCTCAGTGCTCTCTCCCCGGCCGCAAGAACAGATTCTCCTCCGGTGACCACGTACACCCCCCGGACTCAGGTAGGGTGGAGCAAAGTGGCCGCTGTGCATGTGCGGTACCTGGAAACCCTCCGGGGAGAATTGTTGTGCGGCGGGGAGGAGACGCGGCGAGCTGCAAGCAGGCAAACTAATCGATGATGGAAAACATTGACGGCGTTTTCCATCATCGATTATAATCGACTTAGTTGATTAATTGTTGCAGCTCTACTTAATAGATCTCATGAGATTATAGATGAGATTCCCTAGCAAAGCACTGCTGGTGTAATCTTCCCAGCATGCAACACTTGGGCACATTACATAATTTGGGCGAAAGTGGACCAGGGAGTAGAAAAGAAAAAAAAAGAAAATAAAAATGTTTAAACTAATGAATGTAGGATGTTTCCACATCAGCATGCAGAGCTGTATGCTGATATGATTTTAGTCAAAGGGTGTAAAGGTCCACTTTAACAGAACTAAAGAAAGAAACCGATTGGTTTCTATGGGCAACTGCTCCAGATTCTGTCTGCTCCAGTTCAGATGAAACTAGTAGCAATGCGTTGCAGCATTACTACCAGTTTCAAAGAGCATGCTCAATTCCAAGTTTGCTTTTATGTTTCAGGATATTTCTATGAAAAAAAATGGTGTAATGATCTATGTACATAGAACCAAACATAATTGGTAGTTCCACATAATGACTGTACTCGACTGTCAACTCTCAAAGCCCATCAGTCTTCTCCAAGTTAAAGCAATGCACTCTTTACATTTCCTTTTTACAAAATGCTAAATTCAAACCAATGCTTTGTGATAATGTGTGCCAATGTGTGTTGCTGTGCCATTCACACCTAATAAATGCATGGTAACACTATATTGCCTTATGAAGTGCTGTGCTACAAAAAAGGATGCAAGTCTTTTCCTGTTCCAGTGTGCCTTTCATTTAAATAGGCAGCCTTGATGCAACGCACATTAGTACACATTATAACACAAGTTGATGCAATGCACCAGATTAGGGCTGCAACAACTAATCGACATAATCGATTATAATCGATTATTGAAAAAGTTGTCAACTTTTTCGATAATCGATTAATCGGCTTTTGATAAGGTGCCCCTGTCCACAGCTCCAACAGATAGGTGTGAATGCAACCTTAACCTCTCAGACAATGGTGGAACTCCACAGACTTTTTTTTTTTTTTTAACCTAACAATGTAACATGATGAAACATGGGGTTTGCCTTTGCTGATCTACTTTTAAGATACTAGTTGCCTGACTTTACCTAGCCAGCAGTCTGGAACAAGTGTGAAGATCTAAAGAATCGGGGTAAAGTCAAAAATATTTATCTGCATATTTGTTCCAGGTCAGCAACTCAAGTATTGAAGCCAATAGCTCAGTATCATAGCCAGGAAATGAGGATTTTGAGAACGTAGAAGTAAAGCTTTCCTTTAACACATTGACTTCCATGGACATATGCATACATTTTTTCAATCAGCTATGCTTTTTATTTTGCTTCGTTCTGCAACCTCCATTCTCTTTTGCAGGAAGGATTTGGGCAGCTGTAAAGGTTACTTCTACAGACCCCTAAAATCAATTTCTGGGTCGGGAGCTCTCAGATCCCAGAAGCATGTGGTTTGCTTGGGAACAGTGCAGGAGAGGCTGTAAGGGTCTAATAGACCCACGATGGCTCCATAAAGAGTATTTGTCAACTGCACAATACTATCATAGAGGGCTTGTCTAAAAATATTAATGAAGTTCAGTAAAAACAAATAAAAGCAAAATTTATAAACACGTACTGAACTTGCTATGGAGTGCCGGTGTCCATCCTAAACTGATATTTTGTCGGAAGCCACCCGCTGACACCTGCTGCACCCACCCCCCATTTTTGGAGCAGCGGCTCTGAGTGCGATGGGTACACGGACTGTATCCAGATTATGTGATCAGACACAAATGTACCTTGGATCTTGTTGTTCAGCTTGTATGTTTTTGGAAATTTTCTCTTTGGGGTCAATTTCCCTTTTGCATCCATGTCCAGAGAGCTTTGCTACTATCCCATGGACCTTAAAATTCTAAATTAATATTTGCAACTGTAGTCACAGGAACATCAAGCCGCTTGGAGATGG